TAGTGTGTATAACCAGCACATGGTGGACTTGTTAAAAGCTCAGATTCCTGAGTTCCATCCCTAGAGATTCTGACTCACTAGATCTGCTATGGGACCTAGGAGTGATATTTTAACAGGAGAAATCCCTCTCCCCACATTAGACAATTTGGCTATAGAACTATAGCATCAAATATTTACTAACTACATATTCTGTGCCAAGCTCGGGATATAGTACATGAACATGAAAGAGACAAAACTTGTCCTTAAGGAAAGTAGAAAGGCCAAGAGTTGTAATATACCTATGACACTGGCACACCCCAGTACTTTGGGACTAATCCAGCTTGGGAGATGGGTTGTGAAAGAAGATGATGTTTTACCTGAGTCTTGAAAAAAGACCACGGCCTAATCCAGAAAACAAGGGGAAGAGAGGAAGGGATGCTCAGGGCAAAGAGCAGCACCTGTGTAGCCATATAAGCATGAGGAATTTGGTTGACTAGGAGGAACACTCACGCTTTGGGGACTGTACCTTTTATGAGTATTTCTTAGCTGTATATATCTGGCATGCATTTTGGCCAGATGGTAAGCACCTCTATCGGACAATGTTTAGTTGCTGGGTTCATGCAAGGAGTGATGGGAGATGAGGCAATATACTTAACGCCAGGTCAGGAAGGGCTTTTTAGAATGCCTAGCACAAAGTAGGCACTCAATCAAGTTCCACTTCAGTCTTCCTTCCACTTGAAAGCTTAAAGTCAGTATTGGTTCAGGGTGGTGGCTCAGGCCTGTAATCCCAGCACTTTGGGAAGCCAAGGTGGGTGGATCACTTGAATTTAGGAGTTCTAGACCAGCTGGCCAACATGGTGAAATGCCCTCTCTACTAAAAACACAAAAATTAACTGGGCATGGTGGTGGGCGCCTGTAATCTTAGCTACTTGGGAAGCTAAGGCAGGAGAATAGTTTGAACCTGGGAGATGGAGGTTATAGTGAGCAGAGATCACACCACTGCCTTCCAGCCTGGCTCACAGAGTGAGAATCTATCTCAAATAAATACATAGTATTATCATCACTGTAGGATTATTTCTGTGAGAGGATGTACACTTGATAGCTAACATACAAAGTCTAGAAATACACAATATTCTCACTGCTTTTATAATTGATAAGCTGACTTCTCAATCAGAGAAAACAACAAAAATCACTGAAATAGTACAACAAACCAAGGAACCAAGGAAAACAGGTGATTACTACATATTATTTTTCCCAGTGAGTTTACCTCATTCTATAGTAATAAGCTTTAAGAATAAAATGGAAATATTACCTTAGTTTATCTCTCAAGGTTGTATCATTTCAGCTATAGGCATGTTTAGTTAATTAAGTAAGCTAATTAATTTAAAAATCTACAAATTTATACAATAAAGGAAAATGAATACAAGAAGAGCTAGACAATGGGTAGAAGAGGAAGTCAAATAGCAGGAGCTTGCCTCTACATAAATACATCTAGAAAAGGGTACCTCTCACCACCCTAACACACCAAATTTATAGCCACTACAAAACTTCCATGTACACTGTCCCTTCTTTAATCCAAACCATGCCTATCCATCTTGTCTCTGCCCAAGCCCCATCTCCCCCTTTGTAATATATTCCAAGTACTCTGTTCCACAATGATCCTTTCCCTTCTCGTGTATGAGCCTCATCTTTGAATTTAGACCTATGTTACCGTGTCTTATGTAATGTTTATCTCCCAATCAGATTTTACATTTTCAGAGAAAAAGAACTTCTTTCACATTTCTCATGGACCATAGCAAAAACATAGACATATAAAAGACACCCTGATACTTGGTGAGTGAACAGACTAAATGATTTCCATCAATTAAATTCAAGCTTCAATTGTTGATCTTTTTCACCTTCCCCAAAATGAAGGTAAAAACTTTGTCATTAAGCTTTTAATGATAGGGGACAGTGAAAGGAGGTGAAAGAAGGGGAAGGGAAAGGGAGAAAGGGAGAAAAGAGAGGAAAGAGAGAGAGAGAAAGAAAGAGAGAGGAAGAAAGGAGAGAGAGGAAGGGAAAGGAAAGGAAGATTTTGTTCAAATCTGAGCTGCTTTTAAGTGTTAGCAAATCCTCAGAAGTCTCTGGTATACTAAGGAAAGGGAATTCCTTACTCTGCCTGCCCATAGTAAGACTCAGAGGCCTACAGCTGTGCCTTGTTGCTAAGTGAAATCCCCATTAACTTTCGAGAAAACATGTTCTTTATTCACATCAAAGAGGTTAGAGAAAGAAGGAACAGGTTTCTCAATGCTGGTTCTATCCTTATGTTCTTTTACCAACTTACTGAAGTTCAAAAGAGAAGGACTATTTACAGAATTCCATACCTGGATCATATATAACACATTTATTCAACAATGTTATATATATTCAACAATAATGATAGCTAACATTTTTAAAAACATGTTTTTGTTTCAGGCATTGTGTACTTTCACACATTACCTTGATAACATTCTATATAAGGTAAATACCATAATTATTCTCATTTTTGGAGATGAGGATTCTTAGACTAAATAAGAACTTACTCCAAGGTAGCAAGAACAAGTCACAAAGCCACAATTTGCACTTAAGTCTCTGACGCCAAAGCCTAAACTACACCACCTATTGTCAAGAGATCCAAGTCTCAACAATACTCAAATGTTTTTATTTTTGAACTTTAATTTAAAAATAAAATTAACCCACCTTTTCAGGAACTATAAACCTACTCCAAAGGCACTAACTTGGGTATTTAATTATTTTTCTGTTTGCCCGAAAGATGCTTTTTACATCAAACTTCTCATAAATAGTAAGCTGAGTCAGGAGCAGCTCAATTGAAGAATAGACTAAGTACCAGTGGCCCTGGCAGAAATGCTTTACACTAAGTATTTGGGTTCTCTTTCAGGACTTTTTTTTTTTTTCCTATTAGAAATCTTAAAAATTAAAAGCAAAATGTCAAAGCAATGTTATGAAAAAAAGCTGGAACAAGGGATTTCCAGGTTTGGAGGCAGCAAGCTGAAACAAATTGCCTTAAGCCAATTGACTTCAGTATGCCCAGCACACTCACAGAAAACACGCATCGAAGAAGGGGCTGCATTAAATGTGGGCCCTACTAGCAGAATGACCAGTCAAGGTATAATTTCCCCTAAAAAGCTCATGGGAATATTCAGATTTGATTTACAATATTCTTTTCTATTCATTCCAAGTAGAGGCCACATGTCATTCAGACTTTGCAGACTGTTGAGGAGAGGATAAGAACTCTAGTAAAGCTGTTATTGGACTTTTGGCTATCCATTATCTGTATATATCAATAACTTCCTTCTAACATCCAAAGCCAGCTTCAGAGAAAAGAAAATGGCATAGGAATTGTCTAAAGAGTTTTCCAAACAGCTTCACCTGTTCCACTGACAGAACAATCTCAAGCAGCACTTAAAGCCGTGAGGGCAATAAGGCAAGGGCTTAATGTTACCTATCAATATCAGCATGATTATTTCCATAGTCCAAGATCAGTCTTGAGAGGCAGCAATCAGGTGATACAGTTTTAATGGTAGATAAAGGCTGTCCCCTACCCTCAAAGAATACTTCTACCAGGGTTGCTGGTGCTCAAATTTCCACCCCCAGAAAAGAATTCCTTTTGCTTTAGGCTCAGTTTGTGAAAATACAAAGTCAAGATTAATGGAATTTTAAATTTATTTACATCAAGATTACCCAAATTTATTAGATTTCTTCAAGCCAAGTTTGTTAAGGGATGATTTGAGGGCATAAAAACCACCTTAGGGCAATGGATAAATAAGGAGAGAATGTTCCAGTGAGACAGACCCAATTATGCAAACAGGAGTGGGCTGCAGGTTACGACTATTAATTCACAAATTAGTGACCAGTTAGCACCGTCCACTCACGTCCTTCTCAAAATCGTAGACGATTTTGAGCAGGTGATGCTGCTTTATTTTGAGCAGGTGATGCTGCTATAACCTAAAGAACGTCACGACGAGTTTGCAATTTACAGTCTCTCGACAGGGTTGGGAGTCAGTTTTTTTTTTTTTTTTTTTTTTTTTTTTTTTCCATGAGATGGAGTCTTGCTCTGTCACCCAGGCTGCAGTGCAGTGATATGACCTCGCTTCACTGCAACCTCCGCCTCCCGGCTTCGAGCGATTCTCCTGTCTCAGCCTCCTGAGTAGCTGGTACTACAGGCGCATACCACCACGCCCAACTAATTTTTGTATTTTTAGTAGAGACATGGTTTCACCATATTGGTCAGGCTGGTCTCGAACTCCTGACCTCGTAATCCGCCCTCCCAGCCTCCCAAAGTTCTAGCATTACAGGCGTAAGCCACCGCGCCAGGCCCGGCAGACAGTCAGTTCTTAACAAGCACTCAAATATGCTAGGGCCTGGGAAAAAAAAAATGACTTCTCAGATCTTAGGTAAGGCATAGACTCGTCTGCAAGGAGGGCCGACACCTCTACCTACCAAGCAAAAGGCAAAAAGCCCGGAAGGGTGGAGCAGAAGCAAGCTGGAGGGCTCCAGGAAGTGTGTGGGGAGGAAGCTGCCGAGGTTGGAGCCAACCCCGGCAGCAGCGGGTTTGCACACGCCTAGCAGACGGAGTCCCAGGCCGAGGCGTGCAGCGGTCACGAGCGCTTTCGGCAGCGCTGTCCCCTTCGATTCCGGTCGTCACCCAACCGTCCAGCCCCAGTTTGGGACGGAAACCGGGCTTGTAAAGTGGGCGGCGGCCAGTGCTCCCGCAGCTGAGTCACAGCCCAGCCAACTTTTACAGCGTTGCCCAGAAAGAAAATAAAAAGTCTCAGTCCCGGGGCCCACCACGCGCTTCTAATTCCCGCTCCCCTCTCAGTGTCACCTGACCCGGGGCAACTCCAGCCCCACTGCTGAGATGTTTCCCACTCATGGTGCAACTTCTCGCTCGCGCAAAGCCTCGTGGTACCCCGAGCGCTCTCCAAGTGCTACCAACCCCGCAGATGGGAAGGCAGGAGGGAGGGGAAGGGCTGCGTCCTCACCTGCAGGACACGGACACCTCCACCCGCGTGGCCGGGATGGCGGCGCTCAGCTGGTTCAAGTCCCCGATGCCCGCAGTGCTGGTGTAGCGGCTGTCCATATCGGGAGGAGGCGCCTTGGACTTGTCCAGCGCCCACCACCGGAGCTCGGGCGGACTGAGAGCTAGCTCCCTCAGTCAGGCGGGGAGGGGGTTGAGGGTGGAAGCAGAGGAAGGAGGCGGAGGCAGCGCGCGGGATGGCGGAGGGAAGAGAGGAGGCGGACCTCCGCGCAGAGCCGCGAGGGAACCGCTAGCCAGTCCTGGGTGAAACTGACGCTGCCGGAGAAGTGGCGCTCGGGGCTCCCGGCTTCCCCGCCCCCTCCCGGCAGGCAGCAGCCGGGGCGGGGGACACACTCCGTGATCCCCTCCTGGCTGGGGGGTGTCAGGCTTGGAGGACCCAGCAGGCAGCCGGGCGGAGTAGGTGGCACCAGAACACGCAGACCCCTACCGTCCAGGAGGGCAAGCCCTGGCGGCTCTGCGTTCTTTTAGGTTCTGTCTCCACCTCTGCACACGCACACTCGCCTGCTGGGCCGCGACAGCTTCCTCCTGTCAATCAGGTGTGGACAGGAAGGTCTCGAAGTTTCCCCGCCTGAGTTGGAAGCTGGAGGTGGGGGCGCCTCTGTCGGTTCCTAACTGCCCGGTTATAAGGCACCTCTCCCCTCCACTGGTTCTCATCTCACCCTCGGAGCTCTGGAGGGTCCCTCCTTATTGTGCCCTCCGGCAAATGAGTCTGGTCCCAGCTTCTGGACTGCCCACCGTCGGCCACTTGAGTATTGGGAACAGTGGGGCATTGTGACGCTCTCCAACCTGGGAACGCGGTGGTGAAGCGGTCGATCAATATATGGGACAAGTGGGGGCGGGGTGGACTCTAAGGTGGAAAAAACAATACTACTTGGGATTTAAGGGAGCAATCTGGATTCTGTCTCATCTCCGTTCTTTGGAGCTCAGAGGTCTAGCGCTGACAATCCTCCTACAGTCAGGGCTCTTCTGGATCCCTCGTTTCCAAAGGCATGAAAGTTCTGCCTTGAAAACGGGGGGCAGGGGATGTCACAACCATCTAACGCAGTTCCTTCACCCGACTTCCTCCCGCAAGACCTGGGACCTGACGGATAAAAGCGTAGAGAAGCCGGAGTGAGCGCAGCGTTTGGGAAACTACATTCCAGGGCAGCAAGACTGGTGCCAAGATGCAGTCGCATCAAAAGCAACAGCAGGTAGCCGCAGCGCCCCTCCGGTGCAGAGACGTTTGTTCCCCGCGCCTTACCTCCGGCCTCACCCGAGCGCCTTTGGGTCCCGGGCGCTCGCCACCAGACGGCGACAGAGAGCAGGACGCGGCGCAGCTGGAAGGCGCAGGGTGGAGAGGGGGCGGGTGTCCGCCCGATTTAACGCTCCCAGCACAGAGTTTCCAGCTGGTTGGGCTAACTCAGGGAGGAACAGGTTTTGTGGTGGAGGACATGCCTTGCGCTGTAACATTTTAATCCACTCGCAGCCACCTGCCTAGAGAATCTATAGAGGCGGGTGAGAATGTGTAGGTGCAGTCTGGCCCTTCCCCTGCCGAGTGCACTTCCCGTTTCTTCTTGGCTTCCTTTCCTGATTTCCCCACCCACCGACTCTTGCTTTATTTTCCTTCCTCTTGTCCTGTTACAAATTAAACTGTAGTTTACTGCGATTTGGAAATGTCCTAAAACTCCACGCATTTCTGTTATGCTGCTCAAAATTAATTTGGCAAAGAGATCTAGATTTTTTTAAAGCCCACCAAAATTTTACTTTACAGAACACTACTGAAGAAATGAAAGTTGAGAACTTTAGTAGTCAACATGTGGGATACTTACTTCTAATTTTTTTCCGCTTTAGTGCGGTATAACTGATATGTAATAAACTGCACATAATTCAAGTGCATCCATCATTCGATAAATGTCAACACATGTATCTCCCTGTGAAGCTATCACCAAAATCAAAATAATGAATCATTCCATCACCCCAACAGTTTTCTTATGTGGTAATCAACACCTCCTTTCATCACTGAAATGACCTTCTAGGCGGCCACTGAATCTTTTAGTCACTATAGATTAGTTTGTATTTTAAAAAATTATGTGTCTGGAATCATACAGCAGGTAGTATTTTTGGTCTGGCTTCTTCCGCTAAGCAAAATTCTTCTCTATGTTATCGATGGTATCAATAGTTCATTTTTTTTTTTTAACTGAATAGTATTTTGTTGTATATATGTGCTATAAATTGTTGTCCACTTACCTATTGATGGACAATTTGGTTCTTCCAACTTTGGGCAATTACAAATAAAGCTGATATGAACATATATGTACAACTCTTTCTGTGAACATATGTTTTCACTACTTGTGTGTATGTACCCAGGAGTTTCCATAGCCAGATCATATGGAATGTGTATGTTTAGCTTTTTAAGAAACTATTAAAGTTTTTCCCAAAATAGTTTTAATACTTTTCTTTTTCACAACAGTATGTAAGAGATCGGGTTGCACACATACTTGTCAACATTTGTAGTAATATTTCATGTGGCTTAATGAATAATGATGTTGAAAGTATTTTCATATCTTTTTCCTGTGTGTATGCGTATCTTGTTTGATGAAGTGTCTTCATATATTTTACTTATTTTTTATTAGCTTATTGGTTTTCTTATTTCTGAGTTTTGAGAATTCATTTGCTATTCTGTATTAAGATCTTTATCACGAGACCTTTATCACAAAATATTTTCCGACAGTCTGTGGTTTGTGTTTTCATTCTCTTAACTATCAAACAGCAGAAGTTTCTAATTTTGATGAATCTAGTTCTTCAGCTTTATCTATTATAAATCATAATACTGATGTCAAAACTAAGAAATATTTGTCTAATGTGAGATCATGAAAATTATCTTCTCTATTTTCCTCCAGAAATTTCATAGTTTCAGGTATTACATTTATCTGTATAATTTATTTTGGTTTTTCTAATCCAAGTTATCCTTTTTACACAGTGTCATCAAATTTTTCCAGCACCATTTGTTGAAAATACTAATCTTTTTCATTGAAAATGTTTGCATCCTTTGCCAAAAATTAATTTAACATATATGTATGGGTCCATTTTTAGACTCTATCCTATTCCATTAAACTATTTCTCTTTCTTTAAACCAATGCCACTGAGTCTTGATTACTGAAGCTTTAAAAATAACTCTTAAAGTCAGATAGTATAACTTTTCTAACTTTGATCCTCTTCAAAAAATTTTTTTTCATTTTAATCCTTCTCATTTTCATATAAATTTTAGAATAAGCTAGACAAGATCCAAAAAATGTCTTGTTGAGATTTTCAGTGGAGTTGCATTGATTCTATCGACCAATTAGAGAATAACTGACATCTGATACAAATTAATCTTCTGATCTATGAACATTCTGTATCTTTCCATTTATTTAGGTCTTCCTTAATACTGGTCAGCAATGGACTGTTGTGCTTAAGGAGAGAGAGACTTGGAAAAATACAAACAGAGAGGAAGGCCATGTGAAGACAGGGGCAGAGATTGAAGTTGTGCCACCGAAAGCAAAGAATATCAAGTATTGTCAGTAATCACAGGAAGCTGGAAGAGGCCAGGAAAGATTTTTCTTAGAGACCTTGGAAAGAGCTTGACCCTAGAACACCTTGATTTCAGATTTCTGGCCCCCAACAATGTGAAAGAATAAATTTCTATTGTTTTAAGCAATTCAGTTTGCAGTAATTTGTTACAGCCCTAGGAAAAGTAATACATATCGATAACATTTATTATTTCCATTTTGCTGACTCTTTCAAGTTCAGTGCTTATAAATTTGTCATAGTGAAGAAAGCTTTAAAGGATAAAACTTTGAAAGTATACTCAAATTCTATTAATATAGTTAGCACAATACAGAAAGGAATGTAATTTTTTAAAAAATTAATATAAATTATGACACATCTAACTTTTATTTTGGAGATTTTATAATGAAAAGTTTATATTTATTAAAATTAATTTAATAGTATAAAGCTCTTATAATATGGTAAAAATCAAAGATAAGTTACATTTACTATAATATAAAAATCCATCACTCACTGAATCAGTGATTTAGCAAACATTAATTGAATATCTGCTATGCACTAGGCAGTGTACTAGATCTAAGAGCTAAAGCTCCTTCTTGCACTTATCTACCAAGTAGAAGTTAGAAAGGAGGTACATTATTGGGTAAAGATTATACTGACTGAATCACTGAGCTCTGTCTTTTAATAGTTTCAACTTTTATTTTAGATCTCTGGGGTACATGCGCAGGTTTACTAAATAGATAGATTGTGTAATGCTGAGGTTTGGGATGCAAATCATCCTGTCACCGAGATAGTGAGCATAATTCCCAAAAGTTAGTTTTTCAACCTTTGACTCCATCCTTCCCATTCCCCTCTCTTAGTCCACCGTGTCTGTTGTTGCCATCTTTATGTCCATGAGCACCCAATGTTTAGTTCTCACATATAAGAAAGAATGTGCAGTATTTGGTTTTCTATTCCTGCATTAATTTTCTTAGAAAAATAGCTTCCATCTGCATCTGTGTTACAAAGAACATGATTTTGTTCTTTTTTATGGCTGCATAGTATTTCAATGGTGTATATGTGCTACATTTTCCTTATCCTATCCACTGTTGATGGGCTCCTACATTAATTCCATATCTTGGTTCTTGTGAATCATGGAGTTCTCTTCATTTCTGAGATTTTATTAATTCACAAGATTAGAGAAGACTTTAGTTTGTAAATTAAATGATTATTAACCATTATTTTCCGAAGGACTTATTTACAAAATCGCTTGGTTAAGGAGAGGCTAATGAGAAAAACACATGAAGAGAAAGGCCAAACAAGGGGAAAACAACACTGTTGAGGCTCCAATGAGAGCAACAAAACAGAAGGAAGGGAACATACTTTTTGAAGAATGTGCCTGAAAATGTGTATGCCTATAATATAAGGATAAAATGCATTTACCTTACCTGGCAAGTGATGTATCAGCTCACACAGAAATCGAAAACAAATTGGACTGAGCATTTCTTCTGGGTATAGCTTCATCAGTGGAACTTCTGCTCTATTGGATCCATCAACTATGCCTGCCAAAGGTAAGTCAGAAATACCAGCATTGCCGTATGCTCACTTTTACAATACCCTCAGGAAACTGAAGAAAATACACAGCTCTCTAACCTTTGTGGATAGCTTTATATTTACTTTAACTACTTGGCCTGCTCTATGAAGACACAGCTTAAAATAAAATAAACTTATATCACAGCAAAAGTGGGCTAGTTGTTCGATTGTGGGAGTGGCAGATGAGGGAAGATAATGTGATGAGTGGCCAAAACATGTTATCTGAGTACCTGCCTTCTCTCTAGATCAGATAACCACTTGATTTTAAACCATACAGCGTGGATCAAGTCTGTAAACAATTCAATCATTTCAGACATTAAAATTGTCAATATCACTAACACTTTTTGCTTGAAGTTACCTTTGTGACTGAGTAAGATCAATGTCTCACCAACCTCATAAATTACCACTTTTCCAATAGCTAAGGCAGTCAGGAGACTAACACTTTTAAAATGAACTTTCAAATACTACAAATAATAACAAAGTTATGATCTGTCATGAAGAAGTATCTAGGGACATTAAATTCAGTATTTAAATCAAGAAACACTTTTCTAAGGGATCATGTATGATTATTTAGGTAAACCTAGTCTCAAGTAAATGTTTCCAAAGTAAATTTTGCACTTAAGAGAGCACATAGAAGGGAAAACCTTTCAAATTTCAGAATTTCACACTTTGTATTTAAGCATTTAAAATAATTTATTTCACGTGATGTTTTGAAGGTCTTGGGTTGGTTTGGATATTTGTTTTTCATTATCACAGAGTCAACTGGCTCCACTCACTGGCTATTTAGTAAAGGGAGGCCATAAACTTGCAGGAGTAGGGGGCGGGGGAGTGTAGATCAGAAAGGCGACCAAACTGAGGCTAGTTATTTTACTACAACTGAATCTTTCATTATTTTTAATGATAATACTTCAGCTACCTTTTGTTGTATAACTAGCCCTTCTACATTTAGTCATGCAAAACAATGTGATTTTATTCTTTTTTTATTATTATTCTT